CTACATAAAAACAAGCAAACAAGAAGTATTCTGCCTTTTGTGTCCACTGAATCTGAAGGTTGCTAGAGAGCGGGTGTGTTATCCCCTGCCTCAGCACAACAGAGCTAGCTGTGAGTCTCTTGGGACAGTGCTCTCCCAACATATGGCAGAAAGACATTCATAGGTGCCTGTTTATTTGAAAATTTAAAATTACCTACCATTTTGTATATGCATGTTTATGATATGTAAAGAAGTATAGTTTGTGTTGCATAGATATGTACTTCCTGTTCAAAGTTCACCTAGTCTTTAAAATACTGTGTTTTCCAGTGCCAGCAGAGACAGCAATACTTGCATCAGGAGGAAGCCCTAATAACTTACCTGATTGTATCTGCAGGCACTCTGTCAGTGCGGCTTGACTGCTTGCTCTTCAATGTGCCAAGTGCAGAGCCAGGCTCTTACAATACTGTTAGATTTTAGAGCTGACAGTTAAGATCTGGTTTTAAGGAAAACATTACCCATCTCAGCTCCTCTTTTTCTTGTCACTATGCTTTAATTCACCTTGGGGGAAAACACATTTAATTGTTTCAAAGATTATTTCTTTTTTAGCAAATTTATAGTAAATGGTAGAGATTAATAAAGGGCTATTTTTTCCTCAGCTTGTGGTTTCTAATTACATCAGTTACAGCTCAGCCTTCCTCTTAACTAGAGTGCAGGCATGAACTGGAAAAGAATGAGCTAATCCATGATAGATCAGGTGGAATAAAGATCTCCATTCATATCTTTACCTTTTATCCCTTGTTCTGAGTGCCAAGAATTAATGCTGTTTGAAAGTACAAACTGAACCTGCCAAGCTCCGGCAGCTAAGATAATCCTAATTATTTTAAATGTTAGTGAGAAGGGCAGCAGTTCCACTCTGGAAAAGCCTTCTATTGTGAAACGTTAAATATCTGCTAAGTGGCATTGATTGGACATGATTTTATTTCCAAACACTACAGTTATTGTGAAGTGGAAGAATTTGCTGTTTAAGAAATTTTCACCAACTCTTCCTTAGCTCACCATCGTCTTGCAAAGTAAGAACTCAAAGAGACCAGCATTTTCATACTTGTTCTGGCAGCCAGCAGCCAGGTGAAGAGTTACTAATCCATGGAGAATGCCACTTGTGTTTTATTTTTAGATAGTTTCTTAGTAGGAGTTTAATAGTATTAGGTAGAACTTTTTTCTCAAGCATGAATATCGTGTTTTCTCACATTGCTGGAGAGAATTATTTGTTCCAGTCCATTGACTTTCAACACATCATTGAAGTTAAAAGTCAGGGGTCTTTGCCGCATCAAAAGATCGAGCAGATAGAGTAATTTTGTTTTGTTCGTTAGAGGGGTTTTTCTCTTCATTTGGCAGTGTGTAATATTTTTCAAAAAGAATATTGATGGTTAAATGGCATCACCAAAATCATCGTTAAGTGTCACCTCCCACATTAGTAAGAATGATTATTAATGTGTAAGGTTTTTGTTTTTAAACAGTAATACAAGAAAGGCCCTGCTGCTACAGATAAATAGGCTAGTTGAAAGAAAAACATAATAGACTTGCTGGTTCAAACAAGAGTGAGTCTTCTGGTTATACCCACATTTCATTGTAACACCAAATAGATCTGATGGCAAGTTTTCCTTTTCCCTTTTCCCCTGCTTTTCAGTCTCCACTCTGAGCTCCAGAAGTCAGTTCTGCCATTTCTATAAACGCTGGAGGCCAGTAGTGATTATGGGGTAGCATAATCCTTAATTGGTTATTGCCTGGGAACCTTTCCTGCCACCCCCTCCAGTTCAGCCACCCCTTGTTCCTCCTTTCAAGCCCAAGACCAATGCGGGAACATCTTCACTGATGCAGATAGCACTGTGTTGAGCATCTCTGAGCCAATTATTCTTTCTTTCTTTGAGGTTATTCCCCAGAGTGAAATTACTAGGTCATAAGGGCTGAACAGTTTTACAGATCCTATTACATGTCACTAGATTGCTATCCAGAAAGATGGAGCCAATTTCTGATGTTTTCTGTGATATCTGTCTCTCAGCTGTGCTACTGACACTAGGGTTTACAGAATGGTAAGAACAACAAACCTCTTGAGTTGAAATTAACCCTAACTCTAACTTAAAAAGGAAAAAAGCTTTAAAATTTCTTTTTTCTTAAAATTTCTAATTAGTGTAAAATAATTGACAATGGTCCATTATTATTGTTGCCCCTAAAAAGTTCAATGAAGTTGTATTAAAATGGGCAGGGTACCTTGAAGGACTATATTTAAAGATAGTAATAAAACAGATTCTGAACACTAGTCCTACGAAAAATGACATAAAATTTTTGTAGGTACTTGGAACTTCTATACAAAATGAGTTAAATAGGTACTGTTCCTAACTTAAGCATTCTGTTTTTCAAAGACAATACTAATCCTTGAACAAATTGAAAAAATAACATAGATTTAGTTTTGAGTGGAGAAACGCTTTAAACATACAGGTCAGGTAGTTTTCAAAATAGACTGAGTTCATTGCTTTACATTTTCTCTGGAGTGCAGTCATGCGTTAAGTGTGCTGGAGCCTCTCTAGTCTGTGCAGGTGTTTGTTGCCCAGAGTCACACAGGTACCTCCCAAGAAAGTGCCCACAAGACAAATAAGAGCAAAAGTGGGCTATTCCTGAATTCTTTTCTCTTGTGAAATTCCCACTTCTCCCTTTTTCAGTCCCAAATTGACTAGAGGAGGAGGGCGGGGCATCTCTACCATCACTTCTAACTAAAGCCCAAGGCAGGCCCAGAACACAGAACACATTGAGAAAACTTCCTCTTGTGTAGGTTCTGCATCAATCTGACAGGGTCAGTTAGTTCACCCCCTTAACCTCATGCAGAAGTTGGGAAGGGTTTGTAATCAGCTCCTAAGTGTGGTACCCTGGGTTCAGGGGACAAGGATGAGAGCACGCCAGAGAGTCAATGCCCTCTGTATAACATGGGGAAAGTAGTTCAGTGACTGGTTTGAGAGGCCATCCCTTATTAAAGTATGTAGCACGCAGAGAGTAGGTAGTAATTATTCATTCTCTTCTATATGATCCATGTACAGAGAAAATGTAGGTCACAGGTGTGGGGTGGAGGGGAACAGATTAACTGAATAGATGCTCCAGCAGGCTCTCAGTGGTGTCTCCAGATCTGTGTAATAACAGAAATCTCAGCACTAAGTACCACTTTTGGAAAACATTTCTCTATATACTGACTTAACCAGGTACATGTACAAACAATAAATCACTTTGGATATACAGGGAATTTAAATCCATTTAACAACCCAACTTTACTAGGAAGCTGTTGAGCAATGCAGTAAGATAAAGGATTCAAGGTCCCATTTTTGGGTTGCTGTACTGTAATTATAAAATCTGTCATGCACACTGTTTTGGCATCTATAGAATACCATTTTAACAACTCTGCCCATGTTTTTAAAACTCATAAACTCATCCTCATGTAACTTTAAGCAACTAAATACTAAAAAAATTACCAATACAAAAGGAAATTACTTACTAGGAAATTGTCTAAATTGCTTTTCAAGTTTATTCATTTACTAAACTTGCAGATCATCCCTCTCCTCGTTGGATATTGAAATAGCTATACAAAACTATCCGTCTGTCTGCCTATCCATATGTCACACTGGAGGAAAGGAGCTTTTGGAAATAATTTGGTCCAGTGGAATGGCTGAAGGTCCATTTCTTACATCACAGCTCTTTTCTTTTTTCTGTGTGGTTCCAGTAGCTGCAGCAAATGTTTTCCAAACCCATAACAAGCGTAAATAGTGTTCTCTTTTAAAAGGTCTCTTTTCAGCATGGTAATATACCTTATTAAATTCCAAACATAATAAGTATTGATGGCAAACACATCAGGACCTAGTACAGCTTCCACTATGATTTAGTTCTCTACAAACGACTTCAGTACTCAGCTCCCAATGCATTTTGCTAATTACATCATAGATTTCCCTGTTGATGAACACAAGCTGAATTAACACAGGAGCACTAATGTACCCTTTCACCATTATTGTTGTACAAGAAGCCGTGGCAGATGCTGGCAGTTAGTTACACAAACATTAGTATTAACGATTGGCCATTTGGAATTGGTGACAAACTACTGCCCAGCAGAATCCTGAGGCTGAAACCAATCAGGAAGTTAATGAGGAGAGAAATTACCACTGCAGCTTCCCCTTAATTACATTCACACTAGGCAGGAAGGGAGTTCTGGGGGTGGATCTAAACCCAACTAAGGTTAAGAAGGTCAGAGACCCTTTTGCTTAAATTTTGTATCTACTGTGGCTTGTAAGGTTGCAAAAGTCTTCAACACATTATTACTTTTACATCCTTCATATTTACAGTAGGTTTCCTAGCACAGTTTTTATGTTCATAGACTTCAAGATCTTTAATGTACCTATTTCTATTTTAGTATAATACATTCCATTTATTTTCTCTTAAATTTGTTTTCGTCTATTTACTGCTCTTTATTTGTTAAACGTTTTGTATGCTGACACACACACCTCACCATGCTTGTTTCTGGTGTACCCATGAGAAGTAATAAGAAAGTTGATTTGCCATCAGCTTGATGTGCTAGATCTTGCCTGACCAATGGTGGAAATACACGGGTGGAGTTACTTCTTGGGATAATTTCTCGGGTAACTTGACCAGATAAACTTTCTTAGCATCCTTTACCCAAAGTGAAAAGAACTCAGTGAGTAGTGGAAACAAATTCCTGAAAGGGTTAAGCAAACTTTTGGTTTGGTTTTTAATGGACATAAAACTAGAACTCTGCTACCTAACTTTTCCCTTCAGTTAGAAATACACCTGTGTAATATGATTTTTTTATTCTAAAGAAATATTGAGGATTTTAATGAAAACACTCACAACTTAGAATACAAATGGAGAATGTCTCTTTCTTTGTTGGAACTTAATTGAATGCTGAATGTAGAAAGACTAGCCATTTTTAACATACTTGTTTTCTTTCTCTCCCAACCCCCATTTCCCAGTATTCTCGCCGCCCAGCAGTCAAGATTCTGGCTTGGTTTCCCTCTCCAGCAGCTCTCCTATAAGTAATGAGAGCACAAAGGGGGTTCTCGAATGTGAGGCTGCCTCCTCAGAGACCACCGGCTTCACGGTCACTCCTGTTGTTGAAGAGGCAGAGTGAGCAGAATTGCAGTTGGTGGTGGTTCACTTGGAATACCAGGCTTATTCCATTCTCGAGAGTTTGTTGTTATTCTGTATTGACTTGCACTGACTTAACTGTTGAGAACATGTTTGGGTTATACATTCCTTAAGAGTTTAGTTCAAAGGCTAAGACACTTGTAATAGTGGGGGTTTGTAATAGTGGGGTTTTGACTACCATCTGCAAAAACTAAGTGCTTTGCTTGCTGAGTTTAAATACTAGTGCCCCTTGTTTTTTTTTTTTTTTAATGACACTGATTTACATGTATTCAAGAAATAAAGTAGTGTACTCAAATAAGGCCAGATATTTGTCTAAATTGGTCACAATTAGATATTACTTTGTTAGTTTTAAGATGAAATCTTAGGTGCCTTAGATGTTTAAAAATTTAAGTATTTTAGTTAAACTACAAAAATAAATTTAGCCAAGTACTACACTTGACCAGCAAGAAGAGCAAGCAAAATTACTATTTTAGAAATCTGCAGAAGGTCAGGGTAAATGGAAATACCAAGTGTTTGTGTTGTTGTTGGAAATAGCTGTACCCCACCTCCCAAATCCTGAACATCTGAAATATAGTGCTGGGGGAAAAGACTGAAGCCCCTTAGAATCACTACTTTTTTTTGTAAAAGATAATTTGAAAACAGTATAATTTAATTTAGCCCAGTGAGGCAGAGCTAAATGTTGTTTCTAGAATGAGTTTAACAATGTCTCCTACAGGAAAAAAAAAAAAAATGGATGCAATCTAAACTATTTTGTAACCTTAGGTTGTAATCTGATTTGGAAATAAGTACATCTTTAAAAGTTACTACTGTACAGATTTCTGAGTTCATTATTTTGTTAAAAATTGCTTATGGAGTACTTCCTTATGTAACAGAAGCCATCCTGAAATGAAACTAGTCTAAAAAATTCATTGTTGTGTGTAGTTGTAGCTGTACCTGAAATAAAAATGTTATTGATGACTGAATTTTCTTGTGTGTATATTTGGTGAGCGGTATTAAACAGGAAAAAAGAAATTACTTGTATTTTCTTCGCTCTGTGCTTTGAAAACATCTATTTGATTTCACCCCCATCTGTTGTAATCAATAACCTGACCATCTTGTTTTTTATTAAATGCACTTACTCTTAATTTCATCCACCAGTGGTTTTAGAGAGAATAATGTGGAGTTACCTATATAGGTTTGACATTATAAATCACTTCTGGGGCTGAATTGTATAGCGGTATCGATTGATCCTGATATATCACAGAAATTTACTGTCACTTCTGTTTTCAATTAAAGATACAATCAGTCAGATAATGACTTAATTGGATTTTACAGAAGATTGAGTTTTATTGCCCAGTGCTTTACGAGTTTAGTTAAGGAAGATCATTTTATCACACTTGTCAGGCTGCTGCTACTGCAGCCTAGTGCCCTTCGGAGGCTGAGCTTGTAGCTATTGTGATGAGCAACACGGAGGCTGCGGGGCGCTCCGGAAAGGAAAAGTACAGGCCACGCAACTGCCACCTCCAGAGGGGTGACTGCTGGTGTTCTTAGGGTCTCGCTCACCACACACTCGCAGGTTTATTTGGAGTAATGCTCGCTTCAGAGGATCCCTGAGTCCTGCACCTTTGGCCCTTAGAAGAGGCCGTCACAGTAGTAAGTGCAGGTGTTCCAGAAGCCCACTGAGATCCCTTCAGTGCCCCGCCCCCGCGTTTGCAGGAGCTAGGCAGGCCTGGGTGGCCAGCCTGCGCTCCCAGTCCTACCGAACACCCGAGCGGGCCTTCGCTTGTTGAGTAGGGGTCCTGCTCTGGACTCTGGGTCTGTTTGGTGGTGGGCAGTGTCTCGACGTCCAGTCACTCCTGGAACCGAGTTCACTTATATCCTAGCGGCCGCGTGGGGACACCTATCAAGGATCTTGCCTCTAAAGGGCCACTCCCAGCCCCAAGATGTCGGTGGAACACTGGCAGGCAGTAGTTTCCAGTGCGAGACACTCTGGTTTGGGCCCTCAGCATCGGGTGGGGTGGGGGTGGGGTGGCGAGCAGGTTTGCACTTGTGGTCGTATCCTCGAATGCTAGGAAAGAACCAGACAGCACCTGACACGGGGCCTGCTTTGTGACCATCACGGCCCTCTTTCTGGACACAACACAGATATCAAGGTCGGAATTTTAGTCATCTTTTAATAGGCATTTTTTGATGGGGCAACTAGGTTCCTTAAGGCCCTGCCTACTGGAGGAAAGACCCCTAAACTGGCAAGATCACTTAATCCCGCCACCAGGTGGGTCGCGTTTGCAGCGTACGAGTGTGCAGAACGTGCTCAAGCGTGGCTGTGCCAGGCGTCATGAGCCTTGCCGATGACCCGTGTTCTGTCATGGAGAAAGGAGTTAGGCTCGCCTGGGCTAGCCCTCGCCACGTGAATGGGGCTTGGAAGCAAGGTACGCGCCTCTCCCCCAAGAACGCCTCTGGCTTCCGCAGTGGCTGGGGACGCGGCGACCCCTCCCGGGTCCCAGCGGACAGGTTCATGGGGTCTGGAGCGCTCACCCTGCCCTTGTCTTGCGGAAGCCGCGCCGCAGAACCGGGGCCCAGGGGAGCAGCTGGGACCCTGTCGTCCAAGCACGAAGACCGAAACCTGGAGCAGAGTCGTGGAGTAGACCCCCGCTCATACAGGAAAATCAAGTCCCTGCTGCTGCGGGAAATCGCAGGGCCGACACGCACACTGCACGGAAGCGCGAGGCACGGCCCACGCTTTCCGGACTCGCATCAGCCAGACTGGCTGGAGTTGGTGCGGGAAATATGCGCAGGAGGCTGGCGCGAAGCCCTAGTCCTTTAGCCCTCCGTGCACACGCGGAGCAGGCCTCGGACACGCTGCCCCACTGTGCCCTGCACCTTCGGAGCTCGGCAGCTGCCAACAACTCGCGAATCTCGGCTTACAAAGACACCCCGAAGGAAAGTGTGCTACGGCCTTTACGCCTACACTAGCTTAAGTTCTTCCCCGTGTTTCCCACCTCTAGAACTTTTCCACCGGCCACAGCTGCTGCCAGAACGCCGGGGCAGGGCGAGGCGGTGGGCGTGGCCGTCGGGCGTGGCCCCGTCATTCCCGGAAGTCGCCCCGCCCTAAGAACTCTGGGCCCCTATTCGCCCGAGGGTGGAGGGGTAGCGCGGGGGCGGGCGCGGACGGAAGCTGTGGTTCCTGAGCCTCGAGGCCTAGCCCCAGGCGTCGAGTTTGCGCCTCACCCCCTCTTGCTGGGCTAATGGCGGCGCAAAGGTTTCCCCTCATCATTCGCGGGCTCTTGAAACCCGAGGGGGTTTCTTTCCCACGGTCACGCATGACCTTCGTGGGGCTTTGGATGAGGAAGTGCAGGGGAGGAGGTGGCGAGAGAATTTTCTGGAAAAGCGGCTGGGTCTGGAACAGAGCCCTGAGCAAACGCTAGGGACAACGTGGGAGTGTGGCAAATTTTCTTTGCTTATTCCCTGAATGTGCTCAAATTATCCCAAATTATTTTCTCGCCTTTTGTTTTTAAAGTCACGAGGGAAAGCGCTGTTGGTTTCACCTTACTGGGTGCACGAGGGACTCTGGAGGTCGAGCGCGGAGGGGCACAGGGTGGAGGCCGTCTTAGCCCGCAGTCCACATCCCGAAGTTTCCTCGGTTGGAGCTGTGGACTCAGCACCTGCTCCCGGGGCGGCGGCTGCTGCTGCTGCTCCGAAGGTCCCAGATGGCAAAGGACCCAGCAGCATTGCCAGGTCCGCAGCAGTTTTCTCCTCCCTTTGCTTAATAAGGCCTAGGCTCCTTAGCGGCTGGAGCAAGTTTCCCACTAAGATTCCCCTTCCCTTCCAAATAGGTGTGGAAACCTTCCCTGGAGGAGTAAGTAAGAGGGTGGCTTTGCCGGTCCTCCAGGGCGGGGGATGGGGCTCCAGTGTTCCCCTAATTAAGGGAGAAAAAGGACAGTTACTGTAGATTTGAAGAAATCAGTTTACTTGTCACCCTATTGCAGATTGCCTGGCTGAGTATTATCCCCACCATCACCTTCTTTCCATTTGAAGCAGGCCAGAGTATTTTCAAGAGACCCTGGCTGGGTGAGAGCTGAGTGGGGCAGGCTGAGTTCCCAAGCAAGGAGAGGAGACACTTTTTTGTGTCTGTAAAGGAGGTTCTGTAAACCTGGGCCTCCACACCGCTGTTGTCACGATTTGAACCCAGACCTCCCGCTCCACGAGAATCAGCAAAGCAGAGCATTTGTTGATGTGTCCTACATCCGGGACAATATGCAACTGTCCTTTAAGCGTCGCTTGGGGCTAAGAAGCAGCTAGAGTTCGGAGCTATAAGTCCTTTCTCAGGAAGGACACCTGCATTCCCAGTGATCAGATACACGTACACGGTGCAGTTGGTGTGCCTGACGAGAAAGGCCAGCACATTTTTCACCCTTTCACTTTTAATACCTGCCACAATTTTACCTCATTGTGGTTTGAAAACACAAACACCACCACCCAGCGAATCCTAGTGCTTCTAAGTCTAGCGAGGTTACTTTTACTAGTAATCCTCCCCCTCCCTTTGGATTTCTTTGATGATTTTTCCCATAAGTGTATAAGCTGCAGGGACTTAGAAGCCAGCCGCTCCTCCTAAATGTGATTCGGACCATATGCTTTCTACATTCATTCCCGCATGGGCTTTTCTTCTCTGCACTAACTGCTAACACGTTATAGTCACCTTGAAATTTCCTCTGCTATTTTCCAATTAAAAGCTTAATAGCCCTGGAAACGGAGTTCATGTGGTGAAGTTTACCATAGCCCCTTGTTCTGAAAGGCTTTCTGCTGGGATCCCATTATGTGCTTGAATAAACCCTTTCTGCAAACAGAAATGGGACTCGGGGTTGTCAGGTGTTGGGTTACAATAGACTTTGAGGCAGGGGACATTTTACCAACATAAATACAAACCTGGCCCTATAGGGAGATGTTGTCAAATACTGGGATATGGAAAACATTCCCATCAAATATGAGAAAAGGATTACGGCGCTATATCAAATGCGTATTTAGATCTCAGTCCCCGATGTGCACTGGCGTGAAATGGGCCCGGTCCAAATAATGCTAGACTGTTTGAGTGGCATCTGGATAGGGCGGTTAGGTGACCAAGGTAGGAAAGGGGGTTACCCGGGGAGTGAAATGTGCCCACAAACCTGGTGCAGAGTTCTGCTGTTTTCCTTTAAAAAAAAAATTCCCATTTATTATACGTCTCGCTGACGATCTGGGGAAAACCAGGAGAAAATCGGGTTTGGAAGAAGCTTTTACTTTCCGAGTTTCCAAGAAACATAGATACTTCGGTACAAAGGTTCCCAGAGCCGGTGCCTCGCGCGGCCTCTGTGTCTCCGTCGCCAGAAGCGATTCGCTCCAGGAGCGGTATTTCCTGGCTTTCGCCTCCCGGACGTTGGGTGACCTCTCCCTCGAGCCCAGACGCAGCCAGACTTCCGTCGAGTTGTAGATCTGAGGGTTTATTTTCCTAGCGAAGAGTAGGACAGGAGGGATTAAGAAGTGATGGAAGAGGCCTCCAGTCCCTGCTCGTAGCGCGCGGCCTTGGGAAAGTTCTCCCAGCTTAGCACTGGCGCGCACGTCTTCCTGCCTGTGCTCCACCAGGTCAGCCTCCCGCGTTCCCCAACTCCCGGATGGGGCTGAAAGCCTGGACGGCTTCAAGGGGAAGCAGGCGAACAGGATTTCCTTTTAAACCTCCTCCTTTCAGGCAGAGACTTGACTGCTGAACGCCCGAAATTTTGCCTGAATTCAAAGCAACACAGAGGGACGTTTTCGGGTTGCTGTCTGAGCAGTGCAGAAAAAAGTGGCCTCACCAAGCAGACGTGGGGTTCGGTGCCACCGAGGGGCCAGGCCTTGCAGTGAACATCTAGCATTGCACCGTCATCTAGCATTGCACCTAGCAGTGCACCGTCATCTAGCATTTGGTTGTCCAGGCCGCCAGGAGATG